GGTCGGGAACCACACTAGTGGATCCTGAGGGGTGCCTAACACCTTCCCCTTAGGATAATTTCAAGCCCTTACTCTGGTTATTCAAATAGAACTTAGAATTGAATCTCTATTGGTGTCCTAATGCACCTTAATCATTAGGTGACGACTCTTCAAAAATACAAACCCAATTTCCAAAAGGAACGAGTTGTCCCTCCAAATATCATAAACCCGATTTCGCGAGAAAAAGGGGGCGCGACGGCCAGCAAAGTCTCCTTCAGAGTATTTATATTTTTCCTGTCCAATTTGTATTCCGGACAGATGTTGTATTTTATTTTACTTCCTAGTTGATGCTCATGCACTCATGACACCGGGTTTTGGGGTGGTTATGGGTTGTTCAATATTGAAATTGTTAAAAATATTATCATTTACTCTGTAAATTCCATCTTTTACTATTAAATTGAAGGAAAACGTGATTTCAAATACTAAAATGAGTAATTAAGTTAATCAACTATTGTTGGCTTGCCTTACAGCAGTGTTAAGCATCATTACGACCTTTAATGGATTTTGGGTCGTGACAATATTCTTGAGATGGAATATGTATGTTTGATTATCATCTTGATGTACCATGCAGTCTTGAGATGTGGATGTATTGGTGGATCTTTTCGTTGTTCATTTGTGGAATGAAGTGGATTCTTATATCATGTTGACGAGTGTAGACTCGGAAAGATTAATTGATTGCATAATGGTTATGACCATGGTAGAGTCATAGAAGGATGTCGATTTGATGTTAGTAGGTGGATTATCTCTTCCGAGAAGGTTTGAGGTTGTGTGATTCTTTTGAGGTTTCTACGAAGAGTTTTCCTTCTCTCAAGTGGAATGTATGTGCTACGATTAGAGTTCCGATCGCTTGATGAATTTCACACGACTGTCACGAGGATGTATATGCACTCGGCAGATAATTTGGAAGGTGTGATGACTAGTGATACATGAGCTTTTGAGGAGATTCAGTTGGATAACAGTACGAAACCATGGTAGTTAAGAAAGAAGTGTATTGTGGGTTATCAGATGATGTGTTTATGGCTTCAAGCCAAGTGGGGAGTCTACCATCGACTATCAGTAAGGATGTCAATGAATATTAAAAATCAACTAAACCGATTGAACCATATCGCAACGAACCGATTTTTAATTTTTTTTTAAAAAAATTTATATGTTTTTATATAAATTTATAATTGTGCCTATAATTAGGATATGTTTTTTATTTTGTAAAAATAAACCAAAAAAATACCAAACCAACCAAATAAATTTATATGCGGAAAATATATTTATATAGTAAGTTCAAAAATAATAAAATATCAAATTCTTCTTTGGGTCTTGGAATTATGAAAACGGTTACAAGCCAAAAAGTAATTAAACTCAAAATCATAATTCCTAAAACCTATTATGCTACTTCTACTGAAACTAAGTTAGTTCCAGCGTCTTCATTAGTAACACAAAGTATTCTAACGATTATGAGTAGCAAGCTACAATGACCCAGTAAAATCCTACAAGTAAGGTCTGGGGAGGATAGTGTGTACGCAGATCTTACCCATACCCCGAGGGAGTGCTGCTTTCGAAAGACCCTCGGCTCAAGAAGACGAAAAAGATGAGAAGAGAAGGGAAGGGAAGGGACAATATTAGTACCATCAAACATAAACCAGAAAAATAATAACAACATCATAAGAACTAGAAAATAGTTGAAATGCAATAACAAAACCAGAAAATAAGCCCCGATGCTATGAAAAACGTAAGGATAGTGAGAACACAACATAAACCCCTAGCAGTCTAAGTCCACCCCAATCGAACTAGCCTTACCCCGGACTCGACTACGTCCTAATCCACAACCCTAATGCTTGATCTCCACACCTTCCTATCAAGGGTCATGTCCTCAAAAATCTGCAGCAAAGCCATGTCCTGTCTGATCACCTCTCCCTAATACTTATTAGGCCGCCCTCTACCTCTTCTCCTTTTCTCCAAGGCCAAACTCTCGCACCTCCTCACCTGAGCATCAGGGCTCCTCCTCCGCACATGCCCGAACCATCTGAGTGTCGCTTCCCGCATCTTGTCATCCATAGGAGCCATGCCCACCTTCTCCCGAAGAACTTTATTCCTAATCTTATCCATCCTAGTATGCCCGCACATCCACCTCAACATCCTCATCTCTATCACTTTCATCTTCTAGATATGATAGTTCTTAATTGGCCAACACTCTTCTCCATACAACATGGCCGATCTAACCATAACTCTATGGAACTTACCTTTGAGTAACGGTGGCACTCTCTTGTCACACATGACTCCTGATGCCAACCTCCATTTTATCCTCCCGATCCTTATACGGTGTGTGATGTTCTCATCAATCTCTCCGTCCCCCTAGATAATCGACCCCAGGTACTTAAAACTACTTCTCTTGGGAATGACCTGTGCTCCAAACCTCACGTCCATGCCCACTTCCCCCGACTCAGAACTGAACTTGCATTCCAATATATTCTATTTTAGTCCTGCTCAACTTGAAACCCTTAGACTCAAGGGTATGTCTCCAAACCTCCAGCATATCGTTAACACCACCTCACGGTATTGAATATGTTTCCTTTTGTATAACTTTGATTTATCTTTTTGAATATTTAATCTTCTATAGACTTTATTCTTGAGTTACAGCTTAGTTAATATCTTTCCACTCGTGTGATTTATATTTTCTTTTAATCTTTGATTGGTTTCTTTTACATTGTTGTAGAATAGTTGATTGATCTATACTTTGGCCATCTTTCATAATTTTTTAATTTCATCACCCTTTATACAATAAAAATGTCTAGATTATTTTGCTAAGTCCTATAAAAGAACATTGTTATTGCATTATACTTTTACTGGTGACTTCTACATGACATTTAAAAAAATATCAAAAATTACCCGAACCGAACTGAACTGTACCGATACCGAAGAGAAACCGATATGATTGGGACGGTTTCGAAAAGTCTAATTTTAGTTATACATAATAGAATAACTAAAAAATTGGTATGGTATAGATTTTATAAAATAACCGGTCGAACCTAACCATTGACACCCCTAACGATCGGGTCATATGGGCATGTGTTGTTGTAGTTCCTGAACTAGGATATGCTTGTGGATTAACTATAATTTGAGAAGGTGTCATCGAGGATGATTTGGGCAAATAATTTGTTCCATGCATTGGTGTAATATGCTTTATTGATATATGAGAGCGAGCCGAAATAAAATCCTTTTAAATTTTTTTTTTTTAAAAACACATCTTTGTCACTTTCAAATGATTTTTCTTGGATGTGATAAATATCATTTGGTAAAACAAAACACATGTTTGGGGGGAGGAGGGGGGAGTGCACAGTTAGCCACTAATTAAAGATGTCTTTACTCTTTAGTCACTGTTTAAAATGTATTTACTCTTCAGCCAGTGCTTAATAAATTTTTACCCGCTCGGACAAAAATATCCCTGTGCTAGACACGAGTGTTGTATAAATATTAAGGACATGGTGTCATTAACTTCATGAATGCTCTGTAAATATTAAGGACAAAGTGTCCTGTATTTGCACATTCCGTTGTTAAACTTTAGGAATGATGTCCTTAACTTCATATGTGCAGCGTAAATGTTAAGGACATGGCGTCCTTAAATTCATGCGTGCAGTGTAAATGTTAAGGGCATAGTGTCCTTAACTTTACGAGTGTTGTGTAAATATTAAGGACATGGTGTCCTTAACTTCATGAATGCTGTGTAAATATTAAGGACAAAGTGTCGTGTATTTGCACCTTCCGTTGTTAAACTTTAGGACATGATGTCCTTAACTTTATATGTACAGTGTAAATGTTAAGGACATGACGTCCTTAACTTCATGCGTGCAGTGTAAATGTTAAGGACACCATGTCCTTAATTTTACACAACACTCATGAAGAAAGGGTAAAACTTCTTTTCGTATTAATTTTAATAAAGTAGTAACTATTTTTGCTCAGCATTAAAAATACTGGATAAAAACTAAATATCATGTTAAAAAGTGGTTATCCCACGCCATTTCTACTGTTTTGGAGGGAGGGTATGGCACATAGCCCAATGGCCGGAGAACTGGGCTCTCAGTGTACTAGGCCCACAGTCATTTAAATGGATTTCGTGAGGACAAATGCATGGGAGAAATTCAAAAATAGCCAGATTTACCACTGGTCGTTGAAAAATAGCCAAGTTTCAAAAGTCATCGAAATTTAGCCACTTTAAATCTGAGCGAAAACACTGTTCAAAATCCGGAAAAATACGCCCGTAAATTTTACGGGAGTTCCAGCATAAGTATGCTTGAACTCCCGTAAATTTTACGGGAGTTCCAGGATAACTATGCTGGAACTCCCGCAAATTTTACGGGAGTTCAAGCATAATTATGCTGGAACTCCCGCAAATTTTACGGGAGTTCCAGCAAGTATAATTGTCCAGTATAATATACTGGAGTTTGGAGCACTGGTGCTCCAGTCTCCCGCAAATTTTACAGGAGTTAGCAAAGTATACCGGTCCAGCATAATATGCTGGAGTTCGTACACAAATGCACCAGAACTCCCGTATATTATACTGGACCGGTCCCTGTTGCAGCAAAATAGTGGCTATTTTTCATTGACTTGATAAACGTTGGCTATTTTTCATTGACCAGTGTGAAAACTGGCTATACCATGATATTTTAACCAAATGCATGAGTTGGGATAGTTTCATTTCAAAGAAAATGGATATTATTTGAAGAAAAGAATGGGGATTTTTTTACTTTTAGCCCGCGCCAGAAATTATTTATATTCGGTTGACAAAATAGTGTATAAAACTTGTATAATTACAAAAAATATATTTTTTCCAGCTATTATTTTGAAAGCGACTATACAATATTATTTTTCAAAAAAAAAATGTATGAAATTTCTTAAGGTCGTATTTATTATAGCTGAAAATGTGATATGAATAACTCTGAATGAAAAAAAAAAAAAAAACTCTGTATGCATATCATCAATCGGTTTTCTTTGCTATAAAAGAATACAAGTAGAATGGAAAAGAAAATTACACAGTTAACAAATGAATACAAGATGCCTGTAAAAGCTTTACAGAGCAATTTCCAATGCTTAAAAGATAAAATTACGAATCAGATAAGCTCATGATTTTGTTCTTCTTCTGAACAACAGAAAATGAAGAAAGAGCCTATGTTGTTCGGATTCTCCAGAAATGTCGTCGGGTGGGTGTCAGATTCTCCAAAAGTAATGTATTATTGGAAGATCTGACATCAGTGAGGCATCATTTGGAGAGTCTGCACAACATATGAAAGAACAACAACAACGTAACAACAACAACATTCACATTTTTAAGGATTAATTTGCAGGTTTGGAAGGGACAGCAGCTTTGCAAATCCTATCAAATGCATTCTCAATGCTGGACTTGAACTTGTGAGGATCAACGAGTCCCTTCTCTGTTCCCACTGCCACCCTTAGCCTTCCCATGTAGCTCATCATTGTTATGGTTAAACTCTGCAATCAGGACGTTTAAAAGGTAATTACATGTAATATTAATCAATACTCCCTCTGTTCCAGTTTATGTGAACCTATTTTCTTTTTGGTCAGTTCCAAAAAGAATGACCCCTTTCTAAATTTGGTAAACCACACAAATACTCTGGCCCCCTTTTGACTTGTTTTGGACCACAAATTCCAAAAGTCTTCATTTTTTCTTAAATTCCGTGCCCAGTCAAACAGGTTCACATAAATTAGAACGGAGGGAGTATAATTCATAATCTGAAAAATAAGTGAAGTAATTTATTATAGCGAGTTAAATTACATTGATAGTGTAGAACTTTTATTACAGTAACATAGTGAAATGACAAGGAAGTAATGTAGTATACCTCAGGAACACCAACAACCATGAAGTACAAGCCTTTACATGGATGATTTGCCAAAGCCATTTGTTCCATAGGCCCAATCAAGTTTGATATTGTCATGCTTGAGTTCTTTAACGTGCTGTGGATGTATTTTGCCGTTACCTATAACATAAAACCAACAATCCAAAATGTCAAAAAAACATGGCCTAATAGTTAATAAAGTAGGACGAAAACCAAGGGAGATCAGAGTTCAAATCTCAGCAGAGGTAAAAGAAAGTCGGGTGATTCTTTCCCTAACTAAAAGAGTAGTCCGATACACAAGATATTCCGCGTTTACGTAGGGTCCAGGGAAGAGCCGTACCCAAGGGGTATGATGTAGATAGTCTACCCTAATGCAAACATTAGTGGCTTTTTCTATGGCTCGAACCCGTAACATATATGTCTCACGGAGATAACTTTACCATTCTTCCCCTGACCATCTCATCAAAAAATTTAAGCTATTAGAGTTACTCGATACATGTACTTATAGAAGGTAGCGAATACCTAGTGGACTAATGATCGAGGTATACCCATACTGTGTGAACACCACTTTAGGATAGCCCGGTGCACTAATCTCTTGCTATGTGCGGGGTCAGGGAAAGGGCCGGACCACAAGGGTCTATTATATGCAGCCTTATCTTATATTTCTGTAAGAGGTTGTTTCCACAGCTCGAACCCATGACCTCGTGGTCACATGACAGCAACTTTACCAGTTACGCCAAGGCTCCCTTTCTGTGTGAACATCACTCTTAAAAAAAAAGTGAGACAAAGAAAAAGTCAATTAATTAGAAGGAGAGTTCACCTCGGGGCCTCTGTATTTTTGCAGAGTATCAAGCAATTTGCCAGTAAGAATAACAGCAGCAGAGTTTCTTTTTCTCTTGATAACATCTTGTGCTTTAAACACAAAGCTAAGAGGATTAAATGAGAACTCTCCTTTATCAAGCTTTGGAACAGATACATGTAAAAATGCAAATTGGTTTCCCCATTTGGATTCATTGCCTGGCTGCAACATCTCTTTTACTGATTTATATCCTGCAATATTTCTAGTATTGAGTAGCACCAATGCTGTTGAATTTGCATTTTTCTGCTCATACTTCATTTCTTCCATGTATAATCTTACACCCAGGAATAATACTCCACATATAACGTCATTGATAGTCTGTCAACAAAAACAATATAGAAGAGTTAATCTTAATAGGCGCCCACCCAACGCTTAAATTAAAAATAGTCGATGGATGTATAACCTATGTAAAATATGTGTATAACTGTTAATAAAATTAGTGTACAATCTATATATACCGACTAGAAAAATAAACAGTAAATGTTGCCGGCTATTTATATAAAAATCCCATAAATATATCGTATATTTCAAAAGGCAAAATTCCAATTTGTAGCGCATACTGCATAATTTCAAGGTTATATTCATTGACAATGTAAATAATTTTTTATACAGTCAGCCCAATCTACAAGTTGCAGAAGTTTATTTTTTTTGTTATTTGGAAGTTACTAATTCTAACATTGTAAAAGATGATGTTTACACTATCAGCATAAAAAATGGTAATAGAAAATTTTCAATCGGGTTATTTTTGAATTTACTATTATTAAAAGAGTTACATATTGTTGTATAACAATAACAAAAAATCCAGTATAATCTCATAAGAGAGGTCCGAGTAGGATAGTATGTACGCAAATATTACCCTCTATCGTCAACATAGAGAGACTATTTTTGATGGACCCTCGGTGCATGAAAAAATTTGTGCCACAACATGGAATTCTCACCACTAAACGACATCCACTTTGTTGAGTTACATATTGTTGTAGATAAAAAAAATTATTGTGACGACCCAAAGGGTCATCACTTGTTTGCTTAGTCATCCCGTGCTTCCGAGGCCTTGAAAACCTCACTTTTAGTTGCCTCGATTTGCGTGCGCAGTCCGGGCGCGCAGCCGGAAAGTTTTTATGATGAAATATACGAATTATGTGAAAAATTTGAAGAATTTTTATATTAATACGAATAAAGTTGACTTTGGTCAACATTTTTGGTAAACGGACCCGGACCCGGACCCGTGATTTGACGGTCTCGAAAGGTCCGTAGAAAAATATGGGACTTGGGCGTATGCCCGGAATCGAATTCCGAGGTCCCAGGCCCGAGAAATGAATTTTTCCGTGAAATTGTTTTCTGAAAATGTTTAAGGAAAATGAAAATGAAATTTGATCAAAAAGTAATGGTATCGGGCTCGTATTTTGGTTCCGACGCCCGGTACAGGTCTTAAATATGCGTTAAGCGCTCTCTGTGAAATTTGGTCGAAATCGGACGTCGTTTGACGTGTTTCGGACCTAAATATCTAAAGTTGGAAGTTTATGAACTTGAAATGAAAAATGATGATTTTGAGGTTTGATTCTTTGATTTTGATGTTATTTTAGTGATTTGATCACTCGAGTAAGTTCATAGGATGTTATTGAGTTAGTGTGTGTGATTGGTTGGGAGCCCCGAGGGCTCGGGTGTGTTTTCCGAGGTGTTCGGGGTGGTTTTGGACTTAAGAGGTTAGCAGATTTTCTGCAATTTTCACACAGGGATTTTCTTCATCGCGTTCGCATCAGTTGGCTCGCGTTCGCGTAGTTCTGTGTTTTTCCCCATCGTCTTGACTCTCGCGAACGCGTAAGTCAAATTGACTCTTCGCTGGCAACGCGAAAGTTTATTGTGTTCTCTATCGCGTTCGCGTCCCCTAGCACGCGTTCGCGTAGGCCAATCTTGGACCACCCAGCACTTTCTTCTACGCGTTCGCGTTCCCATTCCACGCGTTCGCGATCCTTTGCCCAGTTTACCCTTCGCGAACGCGGCCCCTTTCCCGCGAACGCGAAGGGCAATTTTGCCCTGCGAATTTTTAAGTTCAAAACAGTAGCTATTACGGGATTATTCCCATTTGTCACGAACCTTGTCTTCTCCACAGCACCTAGGCGAATTTTAGAGCTAATCTTCACCAAAGCTTCTTGGGTAAGTATTATCTAACTCATCTTCTTCATTTTCTATCATCATTTATCAAATTCCTAGCCCTAAATCATGAAATTCAAGGTAGAAATTAGGGGTTTTGGGTAGAGTAGGGTTTTGGGAATTTTGGGTGATTCAACCTCAATTTGGGGTCGAATCTTAAAACAAATTACATACTTGGACTCGTGGGGTTATGGGTGATTGGGTTTTGGTCCGAGCCTCGTGTTTGGACCATGTGGGCCCGGTGTCGGTTTTGCAAATTTTGGGCAGAATGTTGGAAAAAAATATATTTAGGCATTTGGATTGGATTGTTGAGTATTATTGATGATATTAAATCAATTGTGTATAGATACGATTGAATTGGAGCCAAGTTTGAAAGGAAAAGCGTTGCTTGAGGATTGAATTGGCCATAAACCTTCGAGGTAAGTGTTTGATCTAACTTTGGCTTGAGGGAATAGGATTAGGGTGTTGTTTGCTAATTGTTAAATGTTGAGTACGGTGTATAGGCATGGTGACGAGTATCTATACACCGGTGTCTAGCATGACCGTGGGTCCTTGTTTGTACTTATTCTGATGTTGTTATGACTCTTCCATGTTAATTGATAAATCCTAAGTAACGCGAAGAGTATGAGAATTGATTGTGAATTGTAAAGTCTTTGGAGCGTTGGCTCGAACATTAAAAAGACTATTGAATAAGAAATGAAAGAAATGGGAAGAAATATGATTAATCCCTTGCCGGGATGGTTTGAGTATATTGATTTTCTCCCTTGCCGGAATGTGAAGGTTATTGTTGTTGCTCCCTTGCCGGGAATTAGCTGTTTACTTGTGTTTTCCCTTGCCGGGACGTTTCTTATTATCTGTCTATCCCCTCGCCCCGTTTGGTTGTGATTTGTTGTTTGGTGAGGAAGAGTGATAAATCACGAAGGTCATTCGTGCCAATTGATTATATTTGCCCGAAGGTATTCCGTGCCATGTTTTGATTATATTTGCCAAAGGTCATTCCGTGCCATGTTTTGATTATATTTGCACGAAGGTCCATTCCGTGCCATGTTTTGATTGATTATATTTGCACGAAGGGTCATTCCGTGCCATGTTTTGATATATTTGCACGAAGGGTCATTCCGGGCATGTTTTTGACTATATTTGCACGAAAGTCATTCCGTGCCATGTTATGAGAGTTATGTTGAGGAAAAGCACGAAGAGTGATGCCGTGCACTTTATTTGATTGCTTTTTGGTGAGGATGAGAGTAAAAGCACGAAGGTTGATGCCGTGCAACTGTTGTTTTCCTGCTTTGTTAATTAATTGTGGTGCCCTGTTTCTTACTTAAGTTGATGACTTCTATATCCGATTGTACTCCCCCATAACATGTTTTCCTCCCCTTTTAACTGTTTAGTTTCGTATTTCTTTCCTTTTATTGCATATTATATATATATATATATATATATATAATATATATATATATATATATATATAATATATATATATATTGAACTGCACAGGTTGATTTGGTAGTCCTGTCTAGCCTCGTCACTACTTCGCCGGGGTTAGGCCAGGCACTTACCAGCACACGGGGTCGGTTGTGCTGATTCTACACTCTGCGCTCTTTTTGCGTTGATACAGGTTTCGGACAGCATCAGCAGTAGTAGTGTGAGTGTTCGCATTCCGACCATCGAGACACCGAGGTAGCCTTGCAGGCGTCCGCAGGACCCGACGTCTCCTCTATATTTTCATTCTGTTATCTCATGTATTCGAGACAAACAGTTTTATATTTCTTTCAAACGGTTGTGTTTAGTATTCTTAGAAGTTCGTGAGTATTGTGACACCAGTTCTTGGGTAGTGAATTATGTTTGGATTTCTGTATCGCATCTAGTAACATTTACTAAGTCTTCCGCTAAATTAATTTATTCCGCTGTAATCATATTATTATTGCTAAATGTTTTAAAATAAGAGTTGAAAAAAAAAATGGAAAGGTAAGTAAGAGTTGGCTTGCCTAGCTCCCACTAGTAGGTGCCATCACGACTTCCGATGGTGGAAAATCCGGGTCGTGACAATTATCTAATGATATAAAATGTCATAAGTATCGATGCACATAATTGAAACTCTTTCCGAATTTAGATGATCGTACCTCTCATTGTGCTGAAGATGAGCAACAACTAAAGAAAGAATTGAGTTAATGTCAGTCATGGAAGTTGTTATGGAATTGTCCTATATACCATTAATATCTCCATTTTCAGGTCACCCTACGCAACTTAAATGCCATATTGCCATTTTTCGAGGAAAGCTTCAATCAAGTATGCTGGCAGATCGTGAAGTTAATTCTATTAGGCAAGAATTGCTAGGCAATGAAAGTTCGATGAAATTACCTACATTGTATTTTCCTTAAAAAGATAAAGTAAGAGGTGGAGGTAGTGTAGTAGCTATGGGTTGGGACGAGCCCAATAGGTGGCGTACGAAGGATTTGTCATAAGTGGTGTCACTATTTCTAACAATAAGCCTAACAATCAAAAAATATTTTCTAGAGCCAAAGGAGTTCAAATCCATGACCTCTCACATCAAACTTGAAGCTATCAACCACTAGACTACCGAGCTATTTTGATGCAAGTGGTGTCACTTTTAACGATTTTATCTTGTATTTTTATTTTACTTATTATCTTGTATATATATTAAAAAATTTCGACGAAGCGGTGTCCCGTGATACCGCTTGGGTCCATGTAAATCCGCCCCTGCTAATAGCTTTTGCTTAAACCCTATATTTGTTTTAGAAAATCCATTAAATATACAAAAATCTAGTAACTAAAACGAGCTAGGGTTCGGTGATAATAAAATCGGAACCTATAACCTTCAAAATTCTGGTTCCGCCCTTGGTACTTACCGGTAAAATATAGTCATGTTAAAGATTGTGTAGCTGAACCGAACACCATCATTATTTATTTTATAAAATAAAATAAAAAAAAGATAAAGTAATGTCCATAACTCAAAAGCTTAGCAAAGGTGAGAGATAACGGCTGATACCTCAATCTAAATATTAAAGCTCATACTTTTGTGGGCAATAACTGATGAATTGACAACTTGGAGCATTAAAAGTTACTAACTTTCAATTGCACTACCATTTTCAACTAAGAAGATTATCAAGATATATAGAACTAAATTCCATTGTAATTGCCTATAATAAACATATTTTGAGAACCTAGAAAATATAATAATTGATTTGTTATAACAAGTTAAATCACAACAAGTCAATAATTATATAAACATTCTCTACATTGGTTAGTGTAATAAAATACAATCATAAGGAAACCACCAAAAAAGAAAAAAGAAAAAAAAGATCACATATTGCAAGGCTTTATAAATTAAAGATAGACATGTGATTTCACAACCTAATCTATCGGTGTCATCATCAATCTTGATCAACTCATTTTTCACAAACAAAAGGACTTTTCTGAATCAAATACTCCCTCCTGTCCCCCATTGAATTTTTGGTTTTTTCACACATATTAAAGAATTCAAATCATATTGACCTTAATTTATTAAAAAATATAACAAAATACTCCTAAACTCTTTACTTCAAAGGCAACTTTGGGAAAAAAGTTATTTCCTTCTTGATAACTGAAAAAGTGGATATTATGAATCACAAAAGAAATCAAAAAATCAATTAAAGTGGACCGGAGGGAGTAATCAAGAACGCACTCAAGTTGTATCAATCATAAGGGCCTGTTTGGCATAAAAAAAATTTCACTTTTCCGAAATTGTTTTTCGAAATTTTCATTCTAAAACACTCAGAAAAATTCCAACAGAAAAAGATGACATGATAGTGTAAAAAATTGCATACCCTAGCGATGTATAACATAACTCATTTAAAAAAGATACATTAAATATAAAGAAAATGACTTACCACTTTAAGATTGGTCTTAATTTGCTTGAGATGATCAAGAGAGAAATCCATTGTACTAATATCAATAGGTCGAAATTCCACACCTTCATCCCCAGACCTAATTGGTGTCCTCTCATCTTCAAGTGTAGTACTCTTCAATAAACTCCATCCAAAATCCAAGAAAGTATTAACAACCCCAGATACCATTTGAGCCACATTAGTACAAAACCTCTTTTTATAATCATTTCCAGAATTTGGATTACTATTAAATTCTGGAAATGTTAAGGGAAGTGAAGGATTATCAGCTCTTTGTAAACAAGAAAGAAGTGCTCCCATTAAAGAAAATCCATCTCCAAGTGAATGATGAAGTTTAAATACTAAATTTCCAGCTGATTTACTTGTTTGATATTTGAATAAATGAATTTCCCATAATGGTCTGGTTTGTGGAAGTTGTTCCATTGCAATCGTGGTTAAATATTCGTTGAAGCAATTGTCATAGAATTCTTTTGATTTTCCTTCTGGGAAAATTGGCACATTTATGTGATCTTTGTATTTCACTTCCACTTTCTTCCATTGTTTAACCCCATTTTTGTCTCTCACCTACTCCAATAAAAGGAAAAATAATTAAGGAAAAATTTAAAGAAAAAAAAAAGAGCAATAAAGGAGAATGCATTTCATCGCTAGTACAAATGTAGTAGATATTTCTTACTTAATTTTCTTTAGAAATTTTGGTAATTAGTTCTCTTTAATTTTAGCACTTAAAGAAAAAATCTTGAAGATGTGTTGCTAATTAATTAAAAGTCTATATAGCTAAATAATTAAGTTTATAAATGCATTAATTATGATTAAGGTATATTGCAGGTACTATCCAACATAATTACTACTCCAAAGAAGAGGTCACAAAAAGTCAAAAACCTATATCGAAAATTGATTTAAACCGATGAAAAAAAACTGCATTTTGATTTGATTTGGTTTTAATTTTTAATTGTAAAAACCAATAAAATTTAGTATGATTTTGATTTTAAGCAAAAAAATAGCTGAAAATACCGAACCAAATCGACTATATAAATACTTATTTAATCTTATAGTAGATTTTGGTCCTAACTCTACCTTTAGCTCATAAGATCAAGATTGCCTCTGACCATATTACCACATAATAACGATTGCATTATCTCAACTAATGTAAGACATTCTAACATATGAAAAGAGCAGCCCGCTGCACAAAGGCATCTCACAATCATACAGGATTCGGAGAATGGCCGCACCTCAAGCGGTATGATGTAGACAATCTACCTTAAGCATTAATGACTACTTCCACGACTCGAACTCATAACATATATGTCTAACAGATAGCAGAAAAGAAAAACGTACCATAATAGAAGAGAAGCGAGGATTAATGGGGAGGAAAACATCCTTAAGCAATGTCATGGTACAAGAATCATCTATAGGAATTTCAGATTCCAAAACAGAAATGACTGAAATCGACAATGCGGAGCTGGTGAAGTACTGCCCCGTTGGGCTAACAGGGAACGACGTTTCTTCTTCTTCTTCTTTCTCTGTCATTCGTTTCACGTTAACTTTCATCATTTTTTTTTTCTCGTATATCCAAAAGCTCTCAATTTCTAATTTTTTTCACAATGTACGTTCAGCTCTTGAGCCTTTCACCTTATAAATAAATAAATAATATTGGTAAAGCTAACCACGTCGGTGAATAAATTATGAGTAGTGTGACTATTGATCCATTGTATTTATTGCATGAAAATATGGACAATTGGATTTCATATGGTTATGATAAATGTTTCTGGTTGGAGAAAAATACTCTATATAGTTCATCATTGATTCCTTGTCAACTAACGTTAGCAGCTGATGGGTCTTTAATATAATGGATGGGTCATTAATAAAGGAAATATGTCCTGCGTAAGTAATACTACTAACTGCCCATAATTTCACTGACCAAATTAATTTAATGTCTTTAATTAAGAGACATTTTTGAGGATGTCAAGGTGAAAAAATAATTAATGTTTCTTTTTGTCCTTTCTAGTTTATTAGAGGAACTACTCACAAAAGTAGTTTACATTAAAAACATTGTCGGTAACTTATTACTCCCTCCGCTTCACAATAACTGTCCAATTTGCTTTTAGCACGCCCATTAAGAAAATACTAAATCCTATACAAAAATACCTAGTATGACTAATTAAACTACCCTTATTAAATATTAGTCACATAATTATAGTGAGGAGTGAGAAAACTTTTAGGGATATGCACATAAGGGTAAAAGAGAAAAAACAAATTAATTTTTTTCTTGATTACATAACTGGACACTTATTTTGAACCAAAATGAAAAAGCAAATTGGACACTTATTGTGAACCGGAGGGAGTATAGAGTACTAAAACTAATCTTATTGATGTCATTTCGACTTGATCTTCACCGGATCCTCTCTATAACTTCTAAACTTGTCAGTGCAAGAATCTTATTTCCGAAACTAACTGCTTCTAGGGTAAGAAAATCATAATCGGAATAGCGAACCAAAAAGCTATTGAACTTAGATATGGGTCGTTTGTCGAAATGAAATGACTTTTCTTCAATCTTTTTATACATAGTATGCTTGATCAACATTGTTTTGTTTTACGCCCCGTAACTCTGCGGTTCAAACAAGTCCATTAGAAGTTAATTACTCATTTACGATTATTGGTGTGAATGCCTAATTGCACCATTTAAGTGCTCCTAAAGTTGTTGATGTCAATTCTCCTTCAATTACTATTTTTCTTATATTTTGTGCATTTTAAAATTGAATTTCTTGTCATAAAAATACAAAAAAAAAACTTTTTTTTGTGTGCTCTTTTAATTGACTAATTATTTGATAAGTTAATCAAATTGATTTCTCATGTAATTAATTCAATTGTTAGCTAATGAGTTTTATTAGATTTTATTTTATTAGTTAGTATTTAGGTAAATTAGATTGTAGTTTAATAAGATAGGATTAAAGGAAAATGGGTTAAAATTGAAATGGTTAGGTGGCTAAGAGTGCAATTTTAATGCCAATTAAGTGACTGCTAGGAGAGGGTTCAAACGACGTAGTTTTAAACAAAACTACGTCGTTTCATTAAGTGAAACCAAGATCTTATCTCAGCCCTTCAATTCTCAAGATCCAACGGTTCTGATTGAATCTCCTATAAGGTATTTAATCTCCTAAAAATCAGATTTTTGGCTTCCATTTTACTTCAACCAAACCCTAGAGCCCATCTCCTTTTCCCTCTCTCTCTGGCCGCCGCACCGCCCATCTCCACCGCCACTGCCGCCGCCCGCCGCCGTAGTGGTGGCTCCAAATGACCCTAAAATTTCACCATGTAATCTCCAACACCTACTCTTTCCATATCTTCAAACCAAATCCTTCAAAACCCCCTCAAACTCCACGAATTTTAGATCTAGGAAACCCTAACCGCCACCTTTTTGCCCAAATTCATGAAGTTCCGGCCACCACCACCCTGCAACACATACATGAATGGATAGAGCTCCACCATGCCTACCCTTTCCCCTTGGTCTCCACCCGAAACTCTAGCCGAATTCCGGCGACCACCTCTCACGGCTGCCACTACCGCTGCTCACTCTTCTTTTTCTTCTATTTTTCTTTTTTCCCTTCTTCCCCTCTTGTCTAGATATGACTCGAGCGAGCTTTTCACGGTGGCGCGATATCGAGATCGAAATTGGTTCGCCGAACCTTTAGTTTTGGTGTCTGCCAACGTGAAAAGTTCACTTCGTGGTCGATTCGTCGCTCCTCGAATTAGAATCAAATCTCTTGCTATGATAAGATCCTAGTTCCTCTTTTGTTTTTCTGATTTTTTTTGTTTTGTGTTAAGTTTAGATTTAGTTAATTTAGGTTCTGATTTATTCTTTTGTTTTGATTGTTATTGTTAGTATAATATTACTTCTGATATAGTGCTTAGTTAGCGTTTAGTCGGGTTTAATTTAATTGTTGATTTTGGTTATCTAATTTCTGCATTCATTTGGATTTAATTTCTGGATGTTTTAGTGCTGAATTATCTGCTTTTGAGATTGTTGAATCAGTAGCTGATAGTAGAGTACATGTTTGGTTGTAATGTACTGTTTGAGTACTGTTTGGTGTACAAAACTCCAAAAATCTGCCTCTAGTTGGTATAATACTATCTCTTGGACAGATTTTTTGCCAAAGAGGTGTCCTTTGAATAGTGTTAGACAGATTTTTTGTGAAAAATATGTCCTTTGAACAGATTTTCATAATGAAATCATGTCCCTCCTTTCCTATAAAGAGAGGGTCTTTCTTTTAGTTTAGAGGGGGGTTGAACACACACATTTACACACACAAAGGGGAGATCAGAAAAAGAGAGCCGAAGATAAAAATTTCAGTAGCCTTTCACCTTTGAATATTTTCCAGAAAAGAGCAAAAACCTTCCAAAAAATATAAAAGGTTTGAAGTTAGTTTGTTGCTCCCTTCTTCTTTAAAAGTTGTTGAGTATCGAGGTTTATTCTGGGTTGTTTCACTGGTTCTTTTCACTGTTATTGCTGCTGGGTTGAGTTTGCTTTACTGGGATCGTTGGTCTGTTGTTGGATTCAACGTTTTTCACTGCTGAAATTTCAACTTCTAGGTAATGTTTTGAACTCATCATGTAGTTTAAATGTTCATGGTGAAATAAAATGCCTGAACATTTTGTTGGTTATGTCAGCTTATCTTAAGATGATTTGGTTACTCTAACAGAAATATATGAAGGTCTAAAGCTCATATCTGATGGTTTTGGTTATATTAAGTTAGTTTTGTATGATTGTGATAATTAGTTCATTCAAGTTTACTTATTTATTTTCTATATTTCCCTTGTGATTAAGAGTAATTTCTTATCTTTTGTGATGCTTATGTGTTTATTTGGGATTTAAATAGGATTTTTGTAACGACCCGGCCGGTCGTTTTTAGAATTTACGCCCCGATTCCCTATTAACTGCGTTTCCCGTATTTATTTATGCTGTTTTGAATTACCGGGATGTTCGGTTTTGAGTTTCGGAGAGTTTTGGGACACTTAGTCCCTAAATGAGAGCTTATGTTTTAGAAATTTGACCGTAATCGGAACAGTGTGAAGACGGCCTCGCAGTGGGATTCCGATGGTTCCGTTAGCTCCGTTGGGTGATTCGGGCTTAGGGGCGTGATCGGATTGTGTTTTGGATGTCCGTAGCTAATTTAGGCTTGAAATGCCGAAAGATGGATTTTTGAAGTTTCCGGTTCGATAGTGAGATTTTGATCCGAGGGTCGGAATGAAATTTCGGAAGTTGGAGTAGCTTCGTAATATTGAATGTGACGTGTGTGTGTAAAATTTCAGGTCATTCGGACGAGGTTTGATAGACTTTTTAATCGAAAGCATATTTTGAGAATTTTGGAGTTCTTAGGCTTGAATCCATGGTTAATTCGAGGTTTCGATGTTGTTTTAGGTATTTTAAGGATTGGTACAAGTTTGGACAGTGGTATTAGACTTGTTGGTGCTTTTGGTTGAGGTCCCAGGGGCCCCGGGATGATTTCGGATGGTTGACGGAAGGATTTTGGAGTTGGAGTTGCAGCTTCAGTTGGTTTTCTGTCATAACCGCACCTGCGGTTTGGGTTCCGCAGGTGTGGAGCCGCAGAAGCGACAGAGTGATCGCAGAAGCGGAAAAGGAAGAAGCCACCAGGGACCGCAGAAGCGGGAGCTTCACCGTAGAAGCGGCCCCGCATCTGCGAAGGGTTAACCGCAGATGCGGATATCGGGCTTTAAGTGAGAAGTCACAGATGCGATCATTGGTCCGCAAAAGCGTGACCGTAGAAGCGGTCCCAGGGCCGCAGATGCGGAAATCGCTGGGCAGAACATATAAATACTTGCCTTCGCGAAATTTAGCTATTTTTTACCATATTTCAAACGGGAAAAAGCTTGGGAAGCACTTTTCAAGAGGGATTTTCAGAGGAGTTAATTGGGGTAAGATCTTTGGTCCCTAAACTCGTTATTGGAATGATTTTTATCAATTTAAGCATGAGAAATTAAGGAAAAATAGTAGTAATTTGTGGGTTAGGGCTTGACTAATTAGGGGCCTTTGAGTGATGATTTGAGGGACCAATTGAGGTCCGATTTTGGTACTTTTGGTATGGCTGAACTCGTGAGAGTGCAAGGATTCTGGAAATGTTAATTTTACCTAATTCTGAGACGTGGGCCCGAGGGGCGTTTTGGTCATTTTACCTAATTTTGCGTATTAGCTTAGAATTTAATTGTAGAATCAGTTACTTGAAGTGTTATTTACATTATGAAATTTAATTGAATAGATTTGGGCCATTTGGAGTCGAGTACTCGTGGCAAGAACGTGGTCTCTGGTTGATTATTGAGCCGGTTCGAGGTAAGTGGCTTGCCTAACTTTGTGTGGGGGACTCTCCCCTTAGGATTGATATTGTGATAATTGTCGCGCCCCCCTTTTTTTTTCACTCCTTGCAGCGGGAGAATCGGGTTTATGACATTTTGGGGTATGGGTCAACTCGTTCCTTTTGGGAACTGGGTTTTGTATTTTTTGAAAAGTCGCCACCTAATGATTTAGAATGCATTAGGACACCTACAAAGTTCACTGTAACTATATTTTTTGATAACCTGAGATAGGGTAAGGGCTTGAAATTATCCTAAGGGGAAGGTGTTAGGCATCCCTCAGGATCCACTAGTGTGGTTCCCGGCC